AAAATAAAGATAGTGAGTTCTGACTGCGTTGCACAGTGTGGATATTGCTCATCAGTAATCAATGGGCTAGGCTAGATTAATGGTGGCTGTCTTAAGTTTCTTAAAAATTGAAGAAACCTTTCCCCCTTTTTTCTTCTTTATTTCCAAAAAAGACTAAAGAGAGAAATATGTCTTTCCTTTTATTTTACTTTTTTTCTGAAATGCAGCACCTCCATTTTATAATATGTTACAAATGCTAGTTTTAACTGACAAAGGTCACATGAGGTTTTTTTTTGGCTGGCAGCCATTTATATTGCCCAGATGCTATATTGAGGAAAAACATAAACAGAGGGAGGAAAAAAACTGAAGAAGAATTAGAAGCAATGCTCCTTATATGTCCCTGAAGAATGTTTTATCTATGGATTTTACATTATGTAAGATGTAATCTTTATTTTGTAAGCTAATTGTGTCATGATATTCTGATTACCATAACTAGATGCATCCTAATGGATACATTTGGTTAGGTTTGGCAACAGAAGAGAAGGGAAGCTTCTTTTCCCGTTAGTTCCAGCTAAATCCCTGGGATAATTCTCACTGGAGCAACTTTTGTCACATATCTATGCCTAACCAAACTTGTCTAGGTCTTGGGCCTGCCCTAGAGCTATGGATTGAGCAGCTCTACACAACAAATTACCTAGATTGAGTGAGAACCAGGAGAACAGGAGTTGTTACCAAAATAAATGTGAATGAATTCTAGTGAGGTTAAACAACAGTTGTCCATTATGGTAAGCTTAAAAAGTGAGGGTACTTACTACTAATAATTATTATTAACTAGAGGCCTGGTGCACAGATTTATACACCGGTAGGTCCCTCAGCCTGGCCTCCACACTCTGGCAATCTAGGACCCCCCCCCCCCCCCGAGGGGGGGGGGGATTTTCGACTAACAGTTTTGACCTGCGGGGATCAGGCCAGAACCAACAGTCCAATGTCCCCGGAAGGATATAGTAATGCACGAAGTGGCAGGCAGCTGGGGAGGAGCCCAGGTCAGACACCACACTGGGCCCTGCTGTGCCTGCTGCAGCTGCAGCTTGGCAACGCCCTGCTGAGGAGACAGGAGAGCCTGTGCTGCCTCAGATAAGCTGGCCAGCCATTAGCACAGCATCTGGCTCCCATTGGTCAGCTGAGCAGTGTTCCCACTGTGGGAGCGCACTAACCACCAGGGGCAGCTCCTGCATTGAGCGTGTGCCCTCCTGTGGTCAATGTGCATCATAGCAATCTGTTGACCAGTTAATTTGTTCAGACACTTAGGCTTTTATATATATATATATATATATATATATATATATATATATATATATATATATATATATATTTCACCTGCTTTTGACTGGCAGTTTTATAAATATTTTTTTCTCTAATTCTCATACAAATAGGCAACATCTCTGGGGCAGTCTACCATGTGTTCTTAGATGCTGTACCACTCCTTTGTTGTATAGTCTCACTAGAAAAAACTGGGATGTCAGTTAGTTATCCCAGACCACTGCATATAGGCTTAACTAAGATTCATGGTGTAACTCCTGTTCATGGGAAACTTGGAAGCTGCTGACTTGCAGCTTGCGTTACTTGGGGAAGTTCTTCACATTAATCTAGCTTGAATGAAATAGTTCAAGATTTTCACAGATCTTTTTAGCCCATATATTTCTGATCAAGAAATGAATTCATGCATTGAGTGACTGGACTCAGAATAATTAAACAGAAGTTACATCTCAATTTTTATTTGGTCAATAAATTTAACCACCTATAATTTAATTCTTACCACAACAACTATGCAAACAGGATTGGGAAGGGTCAAAGAGCAAGAAACATTTAAGCAAATTAATTGTGCTTTTCTCAACAACTTACCTTTCCAGTTTTCCAGTCTCCTTAGTGTGAATGGTGTTTTTCTCTTCCCTATGTGGTAGCCATCTTCTCACATGATGATATCCTAGAGCTCATTATAACCAATTTCTCTATCTCATAACATTTACTTTACACTTTTTGGCCATTACATCCTATTTTTTCCTAGTGTTCTTACTTCACCAATTGTTGAATCTGTGGAGATTGCATATCAATTGATTGACTCTATCATTGTTTTCAATAACTATTAAAACTCACATTTTAAAACTTTTCTTTAACTTGCCTAGAGTCTTTGGTCAAGCACTATAACCAATATTCTTGCAAATGCTCTTAACATGTTATCTGTTTCTTTCATGTTATTCTACTGAGAAAACCCCAACCCTAGTTAAGCTTATTTTTCATCTTATTCCACATCTTCATCTAAGCAGTGAACGGATGAAAATTTCACCACAATGCTCGTGGTCCTCACCTCGAAGTTTCACTGGGACTCTCACTCCTTCCAGATAATGCTATTACCATTCCCTGGCAAATCTTCCCATTAATTAAGATAATACTTTAATACCTTCTCTCTCTTCTCAAATCTCTATGATTTCTTGTCCATGCTCAATTTTTCAGCTGATTTCTCTTTCACATCACATTTCATAAATCCCAATCAGATTAGGATGTACTCATTAGTTTTTACCATCAGTTCTATTATACTGTACCGTTTGTATATGCTTTCATTTTCTTCTGCCACCCCTTCTATAAAAACAGAATAATTGCCCTAGCTCATACTCTAAAACCAGCTCTACTACTTGTGTCCTAGACCCACCCATTCTTGTCTTCTTAAGCAGTTTCCTTCTCTAAATAGCAATTCCTTCTCATGCCATTAGTCTATTCTGACCTAATGGGTTATACATGTTTGCATCACATTAGTTTTTAATAAGACTCTTTAAAAATAAAAATAAACGAATCAACTCCCTTTAGATACCTTTTCTCTCTTGTTACCATACCATTTCATGACTCTCGTTATGCAAAAAAGCTACTGGTTCCATTTTTCACCCTGCCTCCATTTCTTCACCATTCACTGTCTACTCTCTGATAGAGCTGTTGTCCTTCTGCTTCTAAAAGGAATCTTAAAACCAACCAGTGTCAAAACAAACAAATCGAACCAAACCAAAACAGCAACAACCAAAAAACAATAAATGCAGAAGCCAACAATAAATTCTCCATTCTCAGCTGACTTGGCTTCTTGGTGGAATTTGCCATGGTTGACCACTATCTCCCTCTCTAAGTACTACCAGGGATTCTGTGGCGCCATATTTTCTGGGTTTACACTATCTTGCTGGTTCTTTCTCCTCTAAGATTTGTCTAATTGCTAAAGTGTCCCCAAGCCCAAACTAACAGACCCTCTTTTCTCATGTATCTATACATCCTATTGGTAATATCAACCCATTCCAGCCTAGATTTCTCCCTTAGATGCTGGACTGATATATTCTACTGTTTACTTGACATCCTTAGTCTTTCTAAGTACATTACACTTAATATGACTGAAAAGAAGCTTTTGTCTTCCCCAATCTACTTTTAGCTCATTTTGAAACCCACAAGTAATTTTTCCTTGCTTCTCTCTTACTCCCACACTTCTACATCTATCAATATGCCCTTCTAAACAGTATCCAAAACTGCTTGGATTGCACGGCTTCTTATCCGCTCATCTACTAAAACATTTCCCAGACTACCATCATGTGTAACTCGAACTTCAGAAACAGACCCCAACCTAACTTCCACGCTACCTCTTGTCTTTTATAAATCTTCTTTACACAGTAATCAGAATGATCCTCACAAGGCAAAAATTAGATCCTGTTTCTCTTTGTGTAACATTCTATTAACTTCCTGAAATCTTCAGAATATAATACAGATGCTTTACTGGAGTCAGCGCTTTCCTTTAACCTTGGGTTCTGGCCTTCATAGTCTTCTTTCTGTTTCTTGAACACGGAATCATATTATCACCTCAGGATCACTGAACTTCCTTTATGTGGCTTGGAATATTCCTGTGCTAGATCTTTTTTTAAAAAAAATATATATCTTATTGATTTTTTACAGAGAGGAAGAGAGAGGGATAGAGAGTTAGAAACATCAATGAGAGAGAATCATTCATCAGCTGCCTCTTGCACACCCCCTACTGGGGATGTGCCCGCAACCAGGTACATGCCCTTGACCGGAATCGAACCTGGAACCTTTCAGTCGGTAGGCTGACGCTCTATCCACTGAGCCAAACCGGTTTAGGCCTGTGCTAGATCTTTGATTGGAGGCCTTCTTTCGTTTCAGACATTTAGTCAATATCACCTTATCAGAGAATCCTTCCACAATCAACCTTGCTAAAACACACATCCCACCACTCCCTAAATCAATATCTCATTTTTGTTCCCTCTTACATTTATGATTTGAGTAGTACAAATTATCCTATTTATGATTTTACTAGAGGCCTGATGCACAAAATTTGTGTAAGAGGAAGCCTTCCTTCCCCTGGCTGCCTGCACTGGCTTCCCTCTGGCACCCGGGACCCAGGCTTCCCTCACAGCCCGGCTACATTCGGAAGGACGTCCAGTCTAATTAGCCTATTACACTTTTATTATGATATTATAGATGTACGTATCCCTAGAGAATAAACTCCTTGAAAATAGTGTTTTTGTCTGTCTTGTTCACTGCTGTGTCTGGAGCCTGTTCTTATTTCATTTTCAGCAGCCTGCACAATGCCTAGCACATCATAGGTACTAAGCAAATACATGTTAAATACATACTATAAAGTTCACACAGGGTATTGAAAACATTTTTCCTATTATCCAGTACAATTTAAAATTTTTTAATGGAAAAAAAACAGTAGTAGTAAGGATATCAACAATAACAATAGCTACTGTACCTCGGGAACTTATATGTGAAAGACAGGGGAAAAGCTTACTGTGAAAAATTGCATTTAATCAACACAGCAAACATATGCACTAGAGACTATTATTACCTATTACCAGTTTACAAACAAGGAAAGAGGTTTAGAAAAGTTCAGCAAGTTACGCAAGTCTATACCGATCGTGAACAACAGGGAAGGGGTTTGAATCCAGTTTGTATGATTCCAAACGCAGCAAACCTACCCAATCAGCTGTGCAGCCTCAGAGGAAGTGCGGAATCTTGGTATTTGAAAGGACATTCGCCTGATCTGATCCTCTGCCACACTCCGGCAGAATGCTTGTTTAGCCTTTGAGTTTGGGTATGCTTCCTTATAATTTCCACCCATTGGTCTAGTTTCACCCCTTCCTTTCCAGTGACATGGTTGTGTTGTGCATAGTAAGTAATTTCTTTTATCGTATGTAGGTATTTTTCAGTCAGGTGTCTGTAAATGCTGGTGGCATTTGGCAATCTCAGTAACCTGTCACAGTTCAAGATGATTCCAGAGGGGAGGGTTGAGTAAATATTAACAAGCCCCTGTGCTTGGTTGGAACTTGAAAGGACTGCATAACATCCAGCATTTCTCTGTCACAGTCTAGATCAGATTAGTTTTAAAGTCCAAGGAAGAGCCAAAGTTCACCTGAGTGCAGACATCACTGCACAGCACTCATTGTTTGTTCATAAGTTTAAGGAAAAGACAATGATGAAGGAGAAAGAGAAAACCATTGCTATTGTGAAGGTTATAGACACTTCAAAGTTAAAACTGGTGAGCAAGTATATTTTGCCATTCTTTCAATGTTTGGAGATAAAACTACCTGAAATACTGAACTTAAACTTTATAAACTAATAGTCAGTAAAATAAGAAATGTTTAAATTGAACTTTGAAATGTATAATATGTAATCCTCTGTATTAACAAGCTTGTTTACTGACAAGATAGTTCTTAGTGTTCAGAATGCAGTAAGCTTTTTTTTTAAAGTAAAAAATTTGTTAAAAATAAAATAATGTTTTATTGTGACTGTTATCAAAAAGTGGAGTTCCACTAATTATTTATTGTAGTGTTTACATTAAAATAATGACTATTTTACTCATTTTGAACTACATAAATTACATGCATATAAAGTGCATGATACAAAGGTATTTACAAGTCACCATTCTCTGTTTTGTATTTTATCTTTTCTATTTGAGTTATAAGCCAAACGAGTACAAGGGATCTCTCCCTCCTGCTCCACATATTATTTTCATTTACTTAGAATAGAACAATAATAATAATAACACAGTGGGACTTCACAATGTTTGTCACTCAAACTTCATAGCTCTACTTTAGTAACTAAAGTTAGCAGGAGATCAATTGTGTGTCTTAAAACAAGGAAAAAAAATAGTTGAACACATTTACATGAATAAATACCCGAGAGAACAGAAAATAATATTTAAATGCTAGCTTTCCCAGTATGCATACATTGTGTGTATAAGCTCCTCTGCAGTGCTCCCTCTTTACACCTGAAGTTTACCTCTTTTTGGTCGATAGTTATTTTGTCTAATGGTCTCTTGCTCACTTTGATCATTTTAGATTCATAATGAATATCTTCATAGAAAGGGAAAATAGAGAATCCAAAAGAAATCAAAGTTTTCTGTTTCCCATAAATATATAATATAGACATCATGCATACACATACATATATAAGGGTTCAGGATATTTTTTACTATTTATATTTTTAAAATATCTGGAAATTATATACACATAATTTAAGATATAAGGAAAGATATGTATATATAGAAAATAATCTTCCTTAGATGTATCTTTCCTTATATGTTAAAGTGTGTATACATTTTCTTATACTTTTCCTTATAATGAGATTATCTGGAAGATAGTTATATCACACAGATTCACAAACATAGAATATGCATGATGCATATACATACATTATACCTATATGCATATGTACAAACATATACCTCAAAATATTATCTGCATTTCAGATAAATACTCAATTTTTAGGAATATGGTGAGTGTAGACTATGATACCCTCTCTCTTGCTGAGTGACATACATGAACAGGGATAGGACAATATATAAATTGAAATTTTAAATCATGGCTAGGTTAATTAGTCGTATAGGGTTTTAGTGAAGAAAAATAAAACAGACTGTCATGAGGAAGTATGTTACAGATGATTGGGACATTAAATTGAGGTTTAAAACACAGGTTGGCTTTTGATACTTAATGAGGACTTTTGTGGTTCAGAAAATAGCGATTGGAAAGAATAAAACTGAGAAAATATGGCCCAGTGGCTCCCAACTTTTCTGAGCATTCAAAACAGTTCTTGCCATTAAAAGTGTTATAGCGCCGAAACTGGTTTTGCTCAGTGGATAGAGCGTAGGCCTGAGGACTGAAAGGTCCCAGGTTTGATTCCAGTCAAAGGCATGTACCTTGGTTGAGGGCATATCCCCAGTGGGGGCTGTGCAAGAGACAGCTGATGGATGATTCTCCCTCATTGATGTTTCTAACTCTCTATCCCTCTCTCTTCCTCTCCGTACAAAATCAATAAAATGTATTTTTAAAAAGTGTTTCGGCAAGGACTCTTTCTATAATAGAGTCAGTAGTTAAGAATCCAGCCTTGTGTCTGCAGACCTAGGTTTAAATCCCAATTCCCCTATTTATTATTATTTTTAAAAGTTACCTTTATTGTTGAAAGTATTACAGATGTCCTCTTTGGTGTTTTCCCCATTGAACCTCTCCACCCATTCCAGCTCCTCCCAGACCTTCACCATTCTATTAATGCATATAAGTTCCCTGGTTAACCACTCCCCCTGCCCCTCTCATATAGCTTTCCCTCGGAAATTCGTCAGTCAACTCCATGCTTCTGTCTCTGGATAGTTTTTATTCATCAGTTTATTTTGTTCATTAGATATCAGTTCATTTGTTCATTTGATACTTATCTTTCTCTGACTGGTTTATTTTGCTTAGCATAATTCTGTCCAGCTTTTGCAAATGGTACGAGTTTTTTCTTTTTTGCTGCCATTAGTATTTCATTGTGTGAATGAACCACAGCTCTTTTAATCCACTCAGCTACTGATGGGCACTTGGGCTATTTTTGAATTGTAGCCATTGTAAATTGCACTGCTATGAACATAGTGCATATATTTTTTCTGCTTGTGTTTCAGGTATCTTAGGATATATTCCTAGAAGTGGGATCACTGGGTCAAATGGGAGTTCCATTTTTTTTTTTTTTTTTAAGGAAACTCTAATCTTTTTTTTACAGTGGCTGCCAACTTCCACCAAGCCCCCTATTTATATAACTGTATGGCCTTGAGATAATTACTTAACTATTTTTTTAGAGTTTTAATTATTTTATATTTAAAATAGTAATTATGATACCTCATAGAGCTGTTAAAAGATTACTAGAGATGTTATTAGTTATTATTATAAAGCCTACTTAGATTAATGGCTGGCAAAAATAAATACTCAAATATCTATGACAAAGTATATATGTTAAGATAATGTTTATGTTTTATTATCTTTAATATTTTATGTATGAATTCATAGATTCCTTGTGGCAATAATCTTTCCCTCACCCTCTCCCTCCCACTGGAGTCTGAAATCTTTTGTCTGAAGCCATAACTTAGGGTATGTGCATGTGGTGATGAGAAATCTTTAAAAATTTGACAATCGTTTTAAATAATGTTGACTAGATAATATAGGGCCAACAAGATTTGAAAGCTAGATAAAGAAGTTTGAGTTTAATATATGAGTTAAAGGGGAGATATTTTATACTTTAGATTTTGAGCTTGAATAAATCAGAGGAAGTTGTGTATTTTAAATAGATGTAGAGGATAAGTTGGGAATTGAGAGGAATGGAGGGATACTAGATAAAGGGACATAATTTATGCTTATGGCCCTGTGGTTCATGAGGTACAAGAACAGATAAAACAATTTAAACTGATAAATTATTCTATATAATAAAAGCCCAACAACCAACCACTGGAATGACCAGAACAACCGGTTGACCAGTCGCTATGACATTTATTGACCACCAGGGGATAGATGCCCAACGCAAGAGCTGCCCCCTGGTGGTCAGTGAGCTCCCACAGAGGGACCACCGCTCCACTGACCAGGATGAGCAATGCTTCCACAGCAAGCCAGTCCCCGCTGGCCACACTCCCCACCAGTGCACAATGCATGCACCAGGACTCTAGTTTAAAAATAATAATAATAAATAAAAACATCATGCAAAAGTGAGTGATAGATCAAATATAGTGTATAGAAAGGAAAGAGAGAAAAACAGTCAGGAAAATGTGGAATTTTAGGGTCAAATTATGTATGTTATCCTTTAGTATGTGTGGCCCAATAAGAGTAAGTGGACATATGAATATTTTCACAGTTTACTTAGAGGTTTCTATAATAGTTTAGAAACTAAATTTTATTTTTTTCATATGTAAGCATTGATTTTAAACATAGACAAAGCTAAAGTTTTCAAGGATTGTGGAAATTATCTTCTCAAAAACTAAGTGTTTTATAAAAAAATGAGGTTGAATTCTATCAGATACTTTTTTTTTTTTTTACTGAATCTACTGAGGTGATCACAGATTTAATTTTGTCTTTGAGCATCCTAAAATGTACTTATGGGAAAGACAAATTGATCATAGCAAGTTATCCTGTTAAATTTTCTTGGATTCATATAGCTAATAAAATTTTGCTTAAGATTTACAGTCATAAGTGAAAAGGGCCTATAATTTTTCTTTTCATAATGTCGTTGTATGATTTAAGTCTCATTGGATTGGGACATATTCCCTCTTGTCTCTGTTGTCTGAAGATGTTTGTACAAAATTGGGATTTTTTTTTCTTAAAAATGTAACACTTTTGCCCATAAAACCATCATGTCCAGATTTTTTATGTACAATATGTTCAAAGTTTATTTTGATAGTTTTAATAATCAAAAGACTGTTTAAGCTATTAATTTGTTCTTCAGTCACTTCTACTAAATAATACTTTCTAAAATTTATCTTTATTGTTGAAAGTAGTACAAATGTATTTTTTCCCCCCACTGATCTCCTCAATCCTGTACCCACCCCTCTCAGGCCTTCATCACACTATTGTCTGTATCCACAGGCTATGCATAAATGCATATGTTATTTTTCAATAAAAATATGCACTTTAAGCATTCATAAGCACTGACAAATTATTGTGGGTAATATCTCTTATCACCTTTTAAATTATGGTAAAAATGTACATAAAATTTGCCATTATATACAGTTTAAAGTATATAATTCAGTGACATTAAATAAGTTGGAAATGTTGTGCAACCAATACTACTTCCAGAGTCTTTTCATCATCCCCAAACAGAAACTTCCTCCTTTAAACAATAGCCACTCATTTATCCTTGCCCTCAACCTCTAGTAATTGCTACTTACTATCTGTATGATTTTGTCTAATTTGGTACCTCTTATAAGTAGAATCATATAATATTTGCTTTCCCCCCCTGTCTGGCCTATTTTATTCCATATAGTAATGTGATCAGGACTTTATTTCTTTTTAAGGTTTTATAATATTCCATTATAATATATGCACATTTCATTTATTCATTCATCTATAATATTATGGGCATTTAGGCTATTTCTATCCTTTGTCTACTATGAACAGTGTTAGTATAAATGTTGGTGTGTAAGTATCTATTTAGGTCTCTGCTTTTAATTTTTTTGGTATGCTGGTATTCATAGAGGCAGGATTGCTGTAATTCTACGTTGAACTTTTTGAGAAAAGATCATACTGTTTTCCATAAGGCTACGCCATTTCACTCTCCCAGCGGCAATGCATCAGGGTCCCAGTTTCTCCTTGTTGTCACCACTTTTTACTTTCCTTTCATTTGATAAGCCATCTTAATGAGTGTGAAGTGGTATCTCATTATTTTTAAGATGACATTTTATAATTTAATATTTTTTATTGTTGACACTATTGGAGATGTCCTCTATTATCACTGCCTTTGCCCTCTCTACACAGTCCCCACCCTTGTCCCTGGGCCTTCACCATACTATTGTCTGTGTTTATGGGCTTCGCATTTATGTTCTTGAGCAACTAATCTCCTCACTTTGCTTTATCCATTCTCCCTACCACCGTCCTCTATGACATTTGCCAGTCTATTCCTATGGTTCTGGCATATTAGTGAGAACATATGGTATTTGTTCTTCTATGACTGTCTTATTTCATTTATCAATAGTATAAAAATCTCCAGATCTGTCAATACTTATGCAAAAGGTAAGAGCTCCTTTTTCTTTTTTTACAGCTATGTAGTATTCCATTGTATAAACATACCACATCATTTTTATTCACCTATTTACTGATGGGCACTTGGGCTGTTTTCTGATCTTGGCTATTGTAAATAAGTTTGCTATGAACATGGGAGTGCATACGATCTTTCTGATTGGTGTTTGAGGGTCCTTAAGATATAGATTTAGAAGTGGGATTGCTGGGTTAAAAGGCAGTTCTATTTCTAATTTTTTGAGGGAACTCCATATTGCTTTCCACATTGGCCGCACCAGTCTGCATTCCCATCAGCAGTGCACTAAGGTCCCAGTTTCTCCACTTCCCTGCCAGCATTTATTTGCTGATTTGTTGATAGTTGCCATTCTGAACAGTTGTGAGATGATACCTCATTGCAGTTTTAATTTGCATCTCTCTGATGATTAATGACGTTGAAGTGTCTATTCAGGTTCTCTGCCCATTTTTATATTTGATTATCTGTCTTCTTTTTGTTGAGTTGTATAAGTTCTTTATATATTTTGGAGATTAACCCCTTATCCGATGAGTCATTGGTGAATGTGTTCTCTCCTACACTGGGTTCTCTTTTGGTTTTGTTGATGACTTAATTTGCTGTGTGAAGCTTTTTAGTTTGATGTAGTCTCCTTCGTTTATTTTTTCCCATGTTTTCCTTGTCCTCAGAGACCTATTGTAGCAAAAATATTACTACAAGAGACGTCTGAGATTTTACTGCCTATTGTTCTTCTAACATGGTTATGGTTTCATGATTTACATTTAAGTCTTTCAACCCATTTTGAGTTTATTCTTCTTTATGATGTACGTTGGTGATCCAGTTTCATTTTTCTTGCATTTACCTGTCCAGTTTTTCAACATCATTTATTGAAGAGATTAATGGTTGACAAAGGAAGCAAGATCATACAATGGAGTCAAAACAATCTCTTCAATAAATGATGTTGAAAAACTGGACAGTAAAATCTCAGACGTCTCTTGTAGTAATATAATAAGCATATTATGGGCATCCTTCAAGATGTCCTTCCGGATGAACTTCCAGACAACCTTCCAAATGATGGGGCTGCAAGGGAAGCCTGGGTCCCAGGTGTCTGCCAGCAGCCGAAGGGAAGCTGGTGCTGGCAGCTGGGGAAAGGAAGGCCTACTGTTGTAAAAATTTTGTGCATATGACCTCTAGTTGACTTATAAAGGGCATGGGTTGATTTCTGGGCTCTCTATTTTGTTCCATTGGTCTGTATGCCTCTCCTTGTCCCAGACACAAGCTGTTTTGATTATAGTTGCTTTGTAATATAGTTTGATATATAGAATTGTGATACCTCCAACTTTGTTCTTCTTTCTCAAGATCACTGGTACTATTCAGGGTCTTTTTGGTTCCACATAAGTGTTTGCAATATTTGTTCTAGATCTTTGAATGCCATTTGCATTTTAATCAGAATTGTATTGAATCTATAGATTGCTTTGAGTAGTAAATTTATTCCTAGGTATGTTATTTATTTGTTGTATTGCAATGGAAATGGAATAGTTATTCAGCTGGCATGGCTCAGGGGTTGAGCATCGACGTATGCCAGGAGGTCACAGTTTGATTCCCAGTCAGGGCACAGGCCCAGGTTGTGGGCTTGATCCCCAGTGTGGGGCATGCTGGAGTCAGCCAGTCAATTTCTTTCTCATTATTGATGTTAATATATCTCTCTCCCTGTTCCTTATTCTCTGAAATCAATAATAAAAACATTAAAAAATTAAAAAGAAATAAGATTGTTTTCTTCTTATTTTTTCCTGTTAGTTTATTACTGGTGTATAAAAATGCCACCCTTTCTGGATATTAATTTTGTACCCTGCTATTTTGCTGAATTTTTTTATTAGACCTAATAGTTTTTTGGTGGAGTATTATGGTTTTCTATGTACAGTATCATGCCAGCTGCCAAAAATGACAGTTTTACTCCCTCCTTTCTCATTTGGGTGCCTTTTATTTTTTCTTCTTGTCTGATCATTATGGGCAGAAATTACAACACTGTGCTGAATGAGAGTGTTGAAAGTAGACATCTCTGTCTTATTCCTGATTTTAAGAGAAAGAATTTTAGCTTTTTCCCATTAAGTATGATATTGACTATAGGTTTCTGATACATGAGAAGATGCTAGGTATGCTTTCTCTTTGATCCAGTGAGTTATTTAAGCTCACTGTTCTTGATTTTTTGTCTGGAAGATTTATCTTGTTTTTATATTGAAATGTTAAAGTCCCCAATTATGACACTATTGCTGCCAATCTCTCCCTTGAAGTCCACTAAGAGTTTCTTTTAAAAAAATATTTAGGTGTTCCTATATTTGATGCATATATGTTTTCAAAGTTTATTTCCTTATATTGTATAGATCCCTTAAGTATTATATAGTGACCTTTTGTTCTCTTTTATGGTCTTTGTTTTGAATTCTGCTTTGTTAGGTGTATTGCTATACCAAGATTTTTGTTTATTTATTTCCATTTGCATGGAATATTTTTTTCTATCCCTTCACTTTCAGTCTGAGTGAAGATTTTTCTTCTGAGGTGGGTCTCTTGTAGACAGCATATATATAGTCATGTTTTCTTACCCATTCAGTTATCCTATGTCTTTTGAATGGAGCACTTCTTCCATTTACATTTAAGGTTATTATTTACAAGAGGCCCAATGAACGAAATTCATACACTCATGGGGAGGGGGGGTGTCCTTCAACCCAGATTGTGAGAGGGCGCAGGCCAGGCTGAAGGTCCCCACCAGTGCATGATGAGGGTGAGGGAGGGACACAGGAAGTTGACCAGATGGGGAGAGGATCACTGGAGGGCTCCAGGATGTGCCTGGCCTGTCTCGCTTAGTCCCGATTGGCCAGACCCCAGCAGCCTACCAGTAAGAGTGTCTTCCCCCTGGTGGTCAGTACATGTCATAGAGACTGGTGGACAGGTCTACTATCTGCCCCTGGTGGTCAGTGCACATCATAGCAAGTGGTTAACTGGCCTTAGCATATCCTTAGCATATCACACTTTGATTGGGTGAATGGCCAACTGGATGACCGGACACTTAGCATATTAGGCTTTTATTATATAGAATAGGTACTTAAAATTCAATTCATACTCACTATTATTTAAAATTAAAATATATTCTATAAATTATTTTCAAATAGCAAATTTAAAACACACACCTAAATATACCAATGTTCAGAGAAGTTTTAATTGACCATTTCTTTCTTTTTTCTCTAAAGTTATCTGGAAATATTTTGAATGTGTATAGTGGTGAGCAGGGAATTTCATCAGTTAATATGGGCCTTACAAATGCTTCCTGTTCGAGGAGTTTATCAATGAAAAAAGAAATTACAGGTAATGTTGCTTTTATAGTTTTATTCTTTTGTCATCAACTATATAAGAGAGGTATAACATATATTACCAAGCTAAATAAAAATTTAAAAGTATTAACAAATTTGTTAGTTAAAATGGGGGACATTTAGAGAGTATAACTTACAGTTCAATAAATATAAATATAAAGGACTTTATGTAAAATAGGCTCATTTAGATATTAAATAGATGCAATTTGTTAACATGGTTGAAAATAATAGATTAGGGAAAATTAGTACTTTTGTATGTAGACTTTGATATAAAATAAGCAGTTAGATTTTAGTTTGTTTTATAAATTGCACCATAGACTCACATTTAACTTTTCTCAAGTGGATAAAACACCTCTATTTTAAATAATTTTTTTCAAAATTGTTAACAGTTCAAAGATATTATAGGACCATTGTCCTGTTCTTTCAATTTAGAGATAAGAAAACAAATGTTTAGAGGAGTTATTTTCCTAAAATCATCCAGCTGAGTAGAGGAAGAAATGGATCAAATAAGGGTTCCTTGACTTATATGGCCAGTATTAGTTCCTCCACATGTGGAATCTAATGAACAAAATAGATCCAGAAACATAGAAGCATGGAATAGACTGTCAAATCTCAGGGGAAAGCGGGAGAGGAAGGATGGGAAGAGATCAACCAAAGAACTTGTATGCTTATATGTGTAACCCATGGGCACAGTCAATAGGGTGGTGAAGGCCTGAGACAGGGCAGGCTAGAAGTGGTCAATGGTGGAAAAAATGGGACACATGTAATACTTTTCAACAATAAAGATTAAAAAGAGAATAAAATAAAATTCAGTGGACATTTCTGTAATATATATATATATATATATATATATATATATATATATATCTCAATATATATATTAGTTTGGTGCCCAAACATTGTTCTTTAATAATTTTTAAACAGTTAATATTAACATTTTTAGTAAATATAGTATGTCCATTCTGGAAGCCTAAGCAATAATTCATAAATATCTATGATTTCAAATAACTTAAGCTAAAATTAATGACTATAGTTTGAAATGAACACATTTAAATAATTGTATTACTTAGTTTAAAAACTAGAATAATTCAAAGAACACTGTATTAATTATCTATTGCTATATAACAAATTATTCCCAAACGTAATAGCTTGATATAATAAACAATTATGATCTCAGACCGTCTCTGTGGGGACAGAAATCCAGGGATGGCTTAGGAAATTGGTTCTAACTGAGGGTTTCTCATAAGGCTATAGTCAAGATATTTGCTGGAGGCAGCTGCTTGACACTAGATTGGCTGGTGGATGTGTTCCCAAGGTGGTTTGCTCACAGGTCTTGAAAATTAGTGCTGCTTGTTGGCAAGTGATCCTTATCCTTTACAAGGTGGAGTTCTGTAGGGCTGCTCAAATGTCATCCTGACATGACAAGTGGTGATCTGAGACACAGCAAATTGGTAGCTGAAAATGTCTTTTATGACCCAGTCTTGGTAGCCACATGTCATTTTCACAATATTCTACTGTTTTCACTGGTCAATCCCTATTAGCATGAGAAGGAATTACCAAGTCTGCGAAGATCGTGAATGAGAATCATTGTGGGCTATGTTGGAGGCTTTCACAAATGCTCACAACCACATAGCATATAAAGCGTCATTTATTGGAAGTGTGGAGTTATGCGATAGTGATATTAAAAAATGCACTTAGTTTCAAAACTTAGATTGTAGAAATTATAATTATTTATGAAAATGTATGTTGTAGAAATTTAGGTTGGAAAAATGTTGAATAGTCTTAAAGTTCTGGAAATAATAATGATTGAGCAGTTTAATATTTGCTGTGCATTATACCTCTTTTAATCATCTCAATACTATACCAGTTTTGAAGAAGAAGAGCCTGAGACACGGAGAATTTAGATAATAGATCACATGGCTACTAAACAGAGGGCCAGAATACAAATTCAGGTTTTACTACTCAAAGGCTAATGGGTTTGCCATTGCCTCCTATTAAGCATACTGTGCTTAATTTCCTAAATATCTGCCTACAAATATACGATTTGAAGCAAATATTATTATATTTTTACCTAGTGTTCCTGAATTATGTTGATTAAAGTGGTATAAAGTAGAACTAAGAATTGTTTTAACTTTCTTTCTTTTGATCAGAAACTGATACTCGAGCTTTGGCAAAAGAGAGACAAAAGAAGGACAACCACAACCTCAGTGAGTATATTTTCATTTTTTTCCAAAGAGAGAGAGAGAGAGAGAGAGAGAGAGAGAGAGAGAGAGAGAGAGAGAGAGAGAGGGAGAGAGAAGGAAGAAATGCATGGATATAAAATGTGTATAGTCATTCGTTGTCACTCCATAAGTATTTTGAGGTCATATGACAAACAATAATAGAGCTATTTGGGGAAATTTAAGTGATGTGGACTCTCAGAAAAGCTATCCTCTTTACAAAGTGAAACATCTCAAATTCTCTCCTGGATCACTCCAGCTCAAGAAGGCTGCGTGGGAAGGAGATGCGTGCATTTAGTTACATTTGAACTCTGTTGTGACTCAAAGGTTTAAAAAGTTAAAAGTGACTTTAGAAAGCTTGCACCATTTAAATAACAAGAAACATAACTCCAGGTTCTTATCTTCCTGTCAGTCTTCTCTTCCCTTCCCCATGATAGGTTATTTGAAAGGTATTACTTACGTTGGATTGCTGAATTCCACCTGTCCAAAAAAAAAAAAATGTCTCTGCTGCCTTCCGAGGGTCCAGTTTAACTCTGGTGACAGGTCCCATGAGATGAAGAAAAATAAGCAAATGAAGCAGCATAGCCACAATGCTGAGCTAGACAGGGTTTGGTCATGTTTCAAGTGCTTAACTGTCTCACCTGAGCTTGACCAATTGAGTGTGAAGTCCTTTTGTTCTGGGACCCCAATCACAAAATGAGAGAAGAATAAAATAAACTAAAAATAATAAATCCTCTACACAACAAACCAGGAATTTCCTCACATGTGATTAGCTGGAGTGGACTCTGCACAAACCTGCATCTGTTTGTTCCTATGCACCTGCCTATGTCACACAGTACTCAGTTTGCTGACTGAGTGACTGAGGGACGGACTGATAGGAGGTTATAACGGTCCTTGGGATAGGAGTGGCGAGGGGAATTATTTGATTCTGATAGCTTCTAGCGGCAGAGCAGATACAGTTTGGTCCAGAATATGAGACAGGTAGAACGTCAGTAAGAAGAGCTAATTATTGATACAAATAATTAATACATTAAGGAACCATGGGCTTCTATTTTAGTTTTAGCCTGCTAATTATTATTCTCCTTGCTTTTTTCTTCACTCTTATATCCATAGCTTTAACAACTGGCCATTTAATATAAAGTATGATAGGTACCTGGTATGTCCATTATTGAAGTATTTTCTAATCTGGTTTTCCTTTCTAATACCAGATTAGAAAATACTTCAATAATGGACATACCAGGCACCTATCATTTTAACCTTGCTTTTTGGAAATATCAGAGTTAAAACATCAATTCACAATTTAAATATGATAAATCTAAGTCCACTCTTAGCATTTGTGAACATTGTGTCAGGAAGACAAGTGCCACTTACTAGATGCCTTAGTATTTAAAAGCTAGAAATTCTAAAAAAAAAAATAAAAAAAAAATCTTTTCCATCCTTCCTGAGGATTAGAAGGCCAGGTGTGAACTTGCAATTCTCAGATCCTCAGAGTTCTGAGTGGGAATGTTAGGGCGGGGAGATGTCAGCCCATCTCACCTATGCCTTCACCCCATATTCCATTCTTACGCCATCAGTGGCCTCAGGCACGAGTGTGAAAACCTCATCCAATGCACTGCAGCTCCATGCAAATCCCTGCAAACAACTGCCCCTCGTCCACATCTTGGGCCTAGGGGTGAGCACACTGATGCCACAGTTCATAGAGGGACAGAAAGGGGCGTGCCCGGGCTCTGGAAGTGGGCCCACGGCATTTGCAAAGTCCTCAGTGGTGTGGCTTAGAAGGGGCTCACTTGGCTGCCTTGCTCAGTGGGAATGGGGGTGATGAGAAAAGGCAAAAATGGTTCCTCTTAAGTGTGGAGTCCTAGATAAGGGCCCCTTTCGCCTGGAATCCTGGATCTAAGGACAGGACTGACCAAACATATCAAAAACTTTGTGAAGAGTGAAACCAGACATGGCATGAATTAACCTAACAATTTTTTTAAAACTTGACTCTTTTAAAAGTAGCTAGTACTGACATGAAAACATTGAGAAATCAAAGATCTCATTATAATTAGCCATTAAACATGTATCGAGCACAGTCTAAATTGAGTAGAAACCTTTGATATTCACATACAGTGCATTTAAATAATAGATTTTGGAGAAATATTATAGGACTAACACCCCCCCCCCCCTTATTCTGAGATAAAATAACATCCTTCATAGCTGCTATTCATTTCATGTTTAAGATTCTTTTTTATAATATAGAAGTGAATATGTGTGAATATAGAATTATTAATAAATTCTCACTGTGAAATATATATGTATTTCTACCAGTTTTACCTTATTTATTTTCTTTTCAATTTTATGTTTTTAATGTTGTGTCATTGTTTTTTGAATCACATGTACAGGAAAAATAATATTGATAAAGAAGGAAAATAAACTCTCTGTAGAATCATTTATATTCTAATTTCAGAGGCATTTCAATGTATTTTTTTCTGAAGGACAATTCCATGTATGGTAAATTGCTTTGTAGTCTAGTTTCACCAACACAATTGATAGTATTTCATGACTTTCCTTGTTTCTGGTAGCAGATCTTAAGTTTCAAACATGTATTGTTTAAGTATTTTCCAATATTTTTATATATGATTTTCTTTTTTTCTTTATGATATTTTTCTGTTTTCAATTCCCTGTAGCAGAAGATAAGACTATTCTATACTCTATGACTGCTCTTAGAGGGGGTCAATATAGGAAACTATGTATTTGTCTGTCTGACATTTATTGACATTTATTAGATGCACTAAATTTCCATTAGCAAAGAATGCATAGACATTCAAACAGAGAAAACAGTCTCTGAATAAGAATCCATATCAATAGTTCTCAACGTGTGGGCCCTAGACAAGCAGCATGACCCAGAAGCTTGTTATAAATGCCAATTCATGGGCCCCAACCGTGACCTACTAAAATCAGAATCCTATATGTGGGGTACAAATCTATTTTAACAATACTTCCAGGTATGTCTGATACCCATCAAAGTTTGAAAATCACTGCTCCATATATTATTGAGAAAATTTAAATTAGAACACTATTTACAGTCTAATCAACATATATTTATTTAGCTCCTCCTATATGCCAACCACTCTGGGGTTATAAAAATGAGAAAGAAATTGTCTCTGCCCTCAAGGAGGTCATAGTCTAGTTGGGCACACAAAGCTACAATGTGCCAAACTCTGTGTTAGGCCCGGAAGTATATAAGAAGAGTTAAGTATGGCACCAACATCAAAAGATTATAATCCTTTGGACTGACAAATGCATAGGTGTGAAATAATTATATATATATATATATATATATATATATATATATATATCAGTATGAGTAAATATTATAACATTTCAAGGAATTAAATACATGTTTTGGGGAGGACATATTTTTAAAGCATTGTATATAATAGAAATATAATTCTAATATTGGTATTTTCACTTTCAGAATAAAATATATTAATTTTTTATTTTATTTCTGAGAAATATTCTTTTAAAAAATGGAAATTTTCATTTATTATTTTTAACAATTATTAAGAAAGTTGACAGCTATTCAAAAATTAATTGTATTTTAATGAAAATAATAAATAATTTTGTTTTAATAGTTGAAAGAAGAAGACGGTATAATATTAATTACAGAATCAAGGAGCTTGGCACTCTTATTCCAAAGACTAATGACCCGTGAGTTCAACAATCATTTCTATAATAATGTTATGGTTTTACTACCCCCCAAAATGGGTGGGAGGGGAGAGGGTAGAGGAGGACTAATGACTAGGAAATTAAGCAACTTATGGTAAAGATTAGATTGCTTCTGGTCTCATTTTAAAAGATCTATACAAGGGTGATTGTCATTAAGCATCAAGGTTGTTATTAACAGTTGTCCTTTTGAGCTATAAAAAAATAAGTAAATTAGTCTTCTCAGATTATGTGGGCTTTTCTGTGTGACATTAATATTGACAAATTTAATGGTAAGATCATATGCTGTCCATGATACAGACTGCTATCTATACTCAATTTATGGTTATAACAATTTTTCCAATGTAAGATTTAGATATACATGAAAATTGCATTGTTGGATTTTCAGAGGTTCTAAGTTCCTAGAGACAAGCAAGTAAAACAAATAGAATAAATACTATCCTAATATATAAAAACCTAGGTTCCATAAACAACTGACCAAAGGCTCAACAGGAAGTCAGTCTTGCATTCAGTGACTCTGTCACAGCACTGCTGAGGGGGCTGCCAATCAGCCCCACTTTTCTGATCAGGCCCAGAGATAGGTCCAGAGAAGCCAACTGATATAGAAACTGACCAAGCAGAAGCAAATCTAGGTGAACTGTGAGGAGCTAATGGCTGCCGAGGAGGTGGAGCTTTTGATGGTGACTAAGTTAGAAACTGTCCAATCAGAACCAAATCTGGGTGACCTGTGAAGGCAGAACCTAAGGTGGGAGCTGAGGAGGGGTTTTAAGGGCAACAGCTATTAGGCTTAAGGTGTAAGAAAGCAGTTTGATTTTTTAGTGACCAGTTTGGCAGTATAGTGCACATGACTGGCTATCAGTCCAGATATAGATATTATGTATTTTTGTCTGTCAAGAGCATCTCCTGCTAAAAAAGGCTTTCTCCCACTCCTATTTAAGCATCCTATCCTATATAATATATCTGTACTAATAAAATGGTAATATGATAATTAGACTAGGTCAAATGGTCATCTTCCAGACATCCAACTTCCTTACAAACAAAGCCATGATTGTGGGAGCTGAGGCAGAGGCTGTTAGGGGTGATCAGGTTGGCAGGGGAAGGCGGTTGGGGTGACATCAAGCCAGCAGGGGCAGGCCATTGGGGGCAAGATCTGGCCAGTAGGGGAGGGCAGTTGGGGGCAACCAGGCCAGCAAGGGAGGGCAGTTGGGAGCAACCAGAATGGCAGGGGAGGGCAGTTGGGGGCGAGATCAGACAGACAAGAGGAGGGCAGTTAGGGGCCATCAGGCAGGTAGGCAGAGGCAGTTAGGGGTGATCAGGCAGTCAGGCAGAAAAGTTAGGGGCAATCAGGCAGGTAGGTAGGTGAGCAGTTAAGGGCTAGCAGTCCCAGATTGTGAGAGGTATGTCTGATTAGAGAGGGTACAGGCTGGGATGAGGGAACCCTCCTTCTGTGCATGAATTTCATGCATTGGGCCATTAGTTATATTATAAAAAACATGTTGACTGATGCCAACCACTAACTGATTATCATAATGAATTTTTTAGTCAAGTTTTGGTATTGTACAAAGTCAGTTAAACAGATGTTTGAGATTTTGAATTTCAACAAATAGTTGATTAATTAAAGTATCAATTTAGAATAGTGAATGTTTTTCCCAAAACAAACAAACAAACAAACATGATCTGTAGCATAAATAATGACTTGAGAAATATTTCATTCAGACTGAGAACTGGCCTCTACAAATGCTGGCAATTACCCATAATTCAGGAACAATGATGTTGGATAAAGTGATATTTGTAAAATGTGGAAATACTTTTCCTTATATCCAAATGTGCCAATTCATTCAGACAATTCAATAATTGGTGACAGAAGGAATGCAATATTTGTTCTCCTGGGCGTCTAAAATACCATAGCAGAAAGAGCACTGGAGATGGAGAATCTGAAGAGTTCAGTGTTAGTTGAGGCCCTACTAATAACTCTTCAAGAGTCTAAGCACCCAGCTCTTCCTATTAGTAGAAAGATTAAACATTTTCCTGATAGGATTTTTTAAAAAAATAAATCTTTATTGTTCAGATTATTACAAATGTGATCCTCTTCCCCCCCCTCAACTGCTCCCCTCCACCAGATTCCCACCCCACCCTCTGTCCTTTCCCCATCCCCCATTGTCCTCATCCATAGGTGCACAGTTTTTGTTCAGTCTCTTCCCGCACCCTCACTCCCCTTTTCCCCAAGAATCATCAGTACACTCCCCTTCCATACCTCTGATTCTATTATATTCACCAGTTAATATTGTTCATCAGATTTTTTTAATTCCCTTGGTTTTTAGATTCACTTGTTGATAGTTACGTATTTGTTGATCATAATTTTTATCTTTATCTTCTTCCTCTTCCTAAATAACCTCCTTCAGCAATTCATATAATTCTGGTTCGGCGGTGATGAATTCTTTTAGCTTTTTTTTATTTGTGAAGCTCTTTGTCCTTTGATTCTGAGTGATAGCTTTGCTGGATAGATTATTTTTGGCTATAGGTTCTTGCTATTCATCACCTTGAATATTTCTTGCCATTCCCGTCTGGCCTGCATGGTTTCTGTTGAGAAATCAGTTGACAATCATATGGGTGTTCCTTTATAGGTAACTACCTGCTTTTCTCTTGCTGCTTTTAATATTCTTTCTTTGTCTTTTGCTCTTGGAATGTTAATTATGATGTGTCTTGGTGTGGTCCTCCTTGGATTCCTTTTGTTTGGGGTTCTGTGGACTTTCTGGACTTGTAAGTCTATTTCTTTCCCCAGGTGGGGGAAGTTTTCTGTCACTATTTCTTTCAGTATTCTTTCTGTATCTTGCTCTCTCTCTTCTTCTGGAATCCCCATAATTCTGATGTTGTTTTGCTTGAAATTGTCCCAGAGGTTTCTTACACTATCTTCAACTTTCTGGATTCTCTTATCTTCTCCTTTCTGCAGAGGAGTGTCCTCTGGCTCTTCGTGTTCTAAATCTTTGTCTTGATTCTTGTGATCTTCCAGTCTGTTTTTAGGACTTTGTATAATATTTTTTATTTCAGACAATGTTTTCTTCATTTCTTGTTTATCCCTTATTATTTCTAGTTGCTCCCTTTTCATATCCTCATAGGTCTCATTTATTTTATCGGCCTTTTTTAGGATATTGTTGAATAACCTTATAACTGTAGTTTTGCACTCAATGTCCAATCTTTTCTTTTCCTCCATCTCCTTCCTTTGTCTCCTTCCTCTTGTCTGCATTTTAGTTGTTTCCCTGATTTGATGGAATAGCTTTGTGTTCTAGATGTTCTGGTAGAGCCCAGTAGCACAGCCTTCCCAGTTACCTGCGGTGGACAGTCTTGGTGTAGCCCTTTGTGGGCTGTGTGTGCAGTCTTGTTGTTAAGCCTTGCTTATTGTTGGTATCACTGGGAAGCTTTGATCTCCAAGCCAATTGGCTGTGAGGATCAGCAGAGTCTCAGCTAGGAGGGCTTCTGTACTCTGCTTGGATAGGGCGGGGTCTCCGGGTGGCGCAGACAATCTTTGGTTCCCTGTCAGTCTCGCCTTAGAAAAGACCTGTTCGTGGAGAGTTTTGGAAGATTGGTTGCAGGCACGCACGCACCTCTTTGGTAAAGGCGCAGACAAGCTTTGGATTCCTGCAAGTCCCTCCTTAGAGAAAGCCAGCCTCTGGGAGAGCTTCTGTGCTCAGCCAGAGATTGGGCGAAGTCTCAGGTTGGTGCAGACAAACTGTTTTCCCTTGGGCTCCTCCCCAAGTCCCGCAGTAATGGCCTCTGGCTTCACACACCTCTGAGAGATCTCTGCCCACTGCCTGACACTCTGGCCTCTCCCTGTCTGGGGCCGTCTATCAGAGCAATAGGCTGATTCTGTTTTCCTCTCGAACAAGAAAGCCAGTTGCGCTTTAGCTGTCTGCCCTCTCCGTGCACCGGGAGTAAGCCAGTAGCGAACTCAGCCCGGCCCGCCCTCTCTGCCCGCCAGGAGTAAGCTAGCAGCAATCTCTGTCCAGCCCTTCCTCTCCCCGCACTGGGAGTAAGCCAGCGCCTTTTCGTGCACACAGTTCTCCGTACCTTCACAGTTCCTGAGGTTCAGCGTGCCTTCTCTCTCCTTCCCAGATGGCAGAGCCTCCTCTCAGCTAGCCGTCCGGCACTTCAGGGCAATGCCTCCCCTGTTTTTCAGTTCTAACTTCAAATTTGTTGTGGTAGGCTGCATTCGGGTGTCTACCCTATGCTGCCATCTTGGTGTCTCCTTATAGGATTTTTTAACACTTAAAATATAAGTGCACATTTGTTTATCAATCATTTTATGTAAATCCAAGGTCTTTTTATTTGAACATGTGTTTTAATTTTTATTTCAGAAACGGTACTAAAATGCATAGTATAATTTATATTTATTTGTTTGTTTGTTTATTTATTTATTATTTAAAAATATTTTTACTGATTTCAGAGAGGAAGGAAGAGGAAGCAAGGGATAGAAACATCAATGATGAGAGAGAATCATTGATCTGGTTGGTGCCTTCTGCCCGCCCCCATCTGGGGATCAAACCTGCAACTCAGGCACATACCCTTGACCAGAATCAAACCTGGGACCCTTCAGTTGGCAGGCCATGCTCTATGCACTGAGCCAAACTGGCGAGGGCCATGGTATATTTTAAGTAATTTAAAATAAAACAAAAACTTAGAAAACACAAGCATAGATGGATTTTAAAAATGTTTATACCCTAATAACTAGTGATGTTGAGTATTTTTTCATATATTTCTTGGCCATGTGTATGTCCTCTTTAGAAAAGTGTTTATTAAGGTCCTCTGCTCATTTTCAAAAATTGGTTTGTTTGTCTTCCTTTTGTTGAGTTATATGAGTACTTTATATACTTTGGAAATTAACCCCTTATCAGAGGATTAACAAAAAATAGTTTAAAAACAATTTTTAAAACTTGGATCATGAAATCAATCAAATGAGACAGACCCAGAATTTTTAAACAAAGAAGGAAGAATGACATTGAATCTATCTAAAGTATTACATATTGCACCTAAGGAGGATAGTAATAATTTGTGAAACACATCATAATTTTATGCACTGTGTTAATTTAGAAAACATATTTCTTACGGTAGATGCATTTGAAATAGCGGGAAAGCCACAGATTTGCAGAAAGATGACTGAATTGAATGAAGAGACCTGGGCTCATCTTCTAAACATCACGTGCTCTTGGGAAAATAGCAGGAACTGTGAAGTACTTGATCTCTGAGGACCCTTTCAGCTAATAATTAGAAAAAACTTAGGTGTTGGCTTAAGAAATCAAGGCTAAAAATCTAAAGACATTTTCAAATCTATGAAGTTGTCATTTCTGTGTGTCAAATACATTCATAAATTTTTTTTTTTTTTGTTAGGCCAAAATAGTGTGGTCAGAAATAGAAATAATGCAGTGAATAGCTGTAGTGAAGATACATAGGTTGAAAAAATTAAATTAAAAAAACAACAATGAGGGGATGACAATCTTCTGACCATTGCTAAAAAATAAACCCAAATGAAACCACCAAACACAAAAAGTGAAGAGCTTCTACAGATGTGTGATTGTGGACTACTTTATATGTGCTTTTTATGAATCATATTTATTAAAAAAAAAAAGTCATATTAGATATCAATCCTAAGAAAGAAGAACAAAGTTGGAGAGATCACAGTACCAGATATCAAACTATATTACTAAGCTATCATTCTCAAAACTGTCTGGTACTGGCATAAGAACAGACATATAGACCAGTGGAACAGAACAAAGAACCCAGTAATTGACCCAAGCCACTATTCTCAATTAATATTTGACAGAGGAGGCAAAAACATACAATGGAATCAAGACAGTCTCTTCAGTAAATGGTGCTGGGAAATTTGGTCAGATACATGCAAAAAAATGAAACTAGATCACCAACTTACACCATTCACAAAAACAAACTCAAAATGGCTAAAGGACTTAAATGTAAGATGGGAAATCATAAAAATCCTATAAGACTCCATAGGCAACGAGATAGCAGACATATGTAATAGCAATATCTTTACAGACACAGATTCTAGGGCCAGACAGACTAAAGAGAAAATGAACAAATGGGACTACATCAAAATAAAAAGCTTCTGCACAGCAAAAGAAACCATCAACAAAACAATAAGAAAGCCCACTGCATGGGAGAATATATTTGTCATTGCTATTTCAGATAAGGGTTTAATCTCCAAAATTTACAGGGAACTCATACAACTTAACAAAAGGAAGATAAACAGTCCAATCAAAAAATGGGCAAAGGACCTGAGTAGACACTTTTCAAAAGAGGACATAGAGAAGGCCGAAAGACATATGAAAACATGCTCAAAGTCACTAATCATCTGAGAGATGCAAATGAAAACAACAATGAGGTACCATCTTACACTTGTCAGAATGGCAATCATAACAAATCAACAGTCATAACAAATGACTAGTCCTGGCAAGGATGTGGAGAAAAAGGAACCCTTGTGCACTGCTGGTGGGAATGCAGACTGGTGCACCCACTGTGGAGGACAGTATGGAGTTTCCTCAAAAAGTTAGAAATGAAACTCCCATTTGACCCTGTAATCCCACATCTAGGACTATATCCCAAGAAACCAGAAACACCAATCAGAAATTATATATGCTCCCTTATGTTCATAGCAGCACAATTTACAATAGCTAAGATTTGGAAACAGCCTAAGTGCCCATCAGCAGATGAGTGGATTAGAAAACTATGGTACTTATACACAATGGAATACTACACCACTTTAAAAAAGAAGGAACTTTTACCATTGGCAATGGCATGGTTGGAACTAGAGAACATTATGCCACATGAAATCAGTTGGAGAAAGACAAATATCACAAGATTATTTGTAGAATATAATGATCAACATAATTTGATGAATAAAAATAGATACAGAGACAAATGGCAGGGGAGGTTAGAGAGCAATCAAAGGACTTGTATGCATGCACATTAGCATAACCAATGGACACAGACACTGGGATGGTCAGGGCTTGCCTGGGAATGGTTGGGGGGGCGGTCAATTGGGACAAAAAGGAGACATACGTAAAACTTAAGATAATAAACAAAAGAAAAACTTCAGATGCAAAAAAAAAATACTCATATTAGTAAAAATAAAATATTATAAAAATATTCTAAATAAATTATTCTATTGATACCATAGTATTTTTGGTTTTTTTCTACCTTTTAATTTGAAAAACTGGTTATAGCACTTTTTTTTTTGTTTTTACTAAATTGTTTTCTTTTTCTCTATAATCATAACATTATCCTGCTTTTATATATTAACTCGAGGCCAGGTGCACAGTTTCGTGCACTGGTGTGGTCTCTTGCACTTGGGGGATGTTGGACTGCCAGTTTCAGTCTGATCCCTGCAGGCCAGGCAATTGTTGCCCGAATCCATGCACCAGGCCTCTAGTGTGCATATAAGGTCTTTGGTCAACCTCTTCCTCTTCCTGTCCTCTCCTTTCCCCCTTCCCTCTGAGATTCATCAGTCTGTTCCATGTTTCCATGCCTGTGTGTTGAGTGTGTGCCCCCTGGTGGTCAGTGTGCATCACAGCTACCAGTCAAATGGTCAAATGTCAAAAGGTTGCTTATGGTTTTATATATAGAGATGGTAATTGAGGTAGTATATGTAATCTAATAAGCTTTTTTAAATGTTCATGTGAGCAAGAAAAATCAAATCTGTCATGATGACCACTTTTTGTATTAATGTTTTAATGTTTTGAAGTGGATATGCAAATGACAACAGACTGTGCATTTTCAATAGTTTTGCCTGCCATATTTCTGCTTCAATGTATACACTTCTGCTACCTGCTTTAAATCCATACAAGTTCCTCAAAAGTTTTAAGTTGTTCAAAGAAAATTATTTTGTAGAAAATGAAAAATTAGTATCAACATTCATTCCTGAGGCACACCTTTACATGCGTTGGTATTACAGTCATTTAAGATGTTTTTTAATGCCTGGCTTCTTGAATTTGTCTTGTGAGAGAAGTACACATCTCCTTAATAACTTGAGAAAACTTGAAATATATTAAGAAGAAACCTCATGTTTAAAATGGCTTTAAAATAGAGTGAACTTTTAAAAATTGAGTACAAATACATCTTGTAGAAATTCAAGGAAGACCCATTGAGTGGACTCTACCACCATTTAAAAAATTTATTTTAGATCTAAATAAACTGTGCTTTAAACTTCAAAGTTAGCTAGGTTATTTTTTTCATCTTAGTTCCTCTGTCCAAGTTTTTTCTTCCCATAAGAATAAATGAAAAAAATTTGGGGCCACAAGGCTCCCTGCTGCTTAGAGTTTTTCAGATGCAAATACTTCCTTGGTTTAATGACAGAAGTAGCTGCTTTTTCCCTGCCTTCACACCACCAGATAAGTCACTTGTGGGAGAAATGGGACCAATAGCTGTTACAGCCCTTGAGAACTGACAAAGCATTTTCAAACTTGAGCTAGACACTGAGTAGTTTGACATTTCAGTAGAAGGCTCCTCCAGTCCCTAGTAAGCATGTTCACTTGATGGGTAGAAAAATACAGCTCCCTTTAATTGGTTGAAATTAATGGAAATGTCATCTAACATGAACTTCCAATGATTCATACTATACAAGCCAGATTTTTTCTTAAAGTCTCTTTCCCCACTTCTGATCACTTAGTAAATATATATTGAGCTCAAGATATTTTACTAAGGTCAGGTAAACTAAAAAAAAAAAAAAAAAAAAAAAAAAAAAAAAAAAATGCAGTGTAATACTTTTGTTATTTAAAATATATTTTATTGATATTTTACAGAGGGGAAAAGAGAGGGATAGAGAGTTAGAAACACCGATGAGAGAAAATCATCGATCAGCTGCCTCTTGCACACCCCCTACTGGGGATGTGCCCGCAACCAAGGTACATGCCCTTGACCAGAATCGAACCCGGGACCTTTCAGTTCGTAGGCCGACACTCTCTCCACTGAGCCAAACTGGTTTTGGCTGCCATGTAATATTTTTTTAAAATTTCCCTACATGCTTACTTTAAGCTGTATTTAAAATACCTCATAATTCTCAATTGAAAATTCATCAAGGTTTCCCAAAAGCTCAGGTTGATTTTTAGCATTTAGTTTGGCCTCATTCTCCTCAAATATCATTAACTCTCAGATAACATTACATTTACTGATATGTATTTTCAGATATTAAAATCAATAGCTTGTTCTGTGATTTCAGATTTATCATCCTCCTATTTCATAAATGCGTTTAAATAAATTTTGTTCTATGCAATAGCCTGAAAGTTTATCTGATAATGTTTAATGTATTTACTTAAATGAAACATACTCAAAAATAAGTATCCAGCTTTTTAAAAAAGCATCGATACATTAGTGCAGGAAAAAATTGCTTAATAATTCTAGAAAGTTTTGCTGTATTGCATAAAACGATGTTGCCAAATTCTGATTTCTTTCACAAACACTCAGGATCACCACTGAGGAGGGACCTTCCCCCCACCCCCCTTTTTCCCCTTAGAAGCATAAAGGCAACCTTATTAGAAAGTAGGTACATTTGAAACGATCTTTAAAAATTTAGGCTTACGTCCTCAATAATGTACATTTCCTAGTTCATTAATGCAGAAATACCACACATAGATTTTAATCTCAGAGTTAATAATAAAAGCAATTTTCACTAAAAATATAAAAACTGTAATGGTAGAATCATGATATTGCATTTAGCTCTCCCACAAAAAAGTCACTTTATTACTTTCCTTTGACACTTATTTTCATTCTGGGATTAATTTTACTATATAAGGGCTCCTTAACTATTCTATTAAAATTTCTATTCAGAAGCAATAATATCTAAGAGTGAATAATAGTCATGTAAATCATTATTTCACATTAATGTAAAAGATTTTTAAGTTCTTATGAATTCTGCTGACACGCACAATTGTGAAAAGGTTATCTCTGTTCTACAGTGATACGCGCTGGAACAAAGGGACCATTCTGAAAGCATCGGTGGAGTACATCAAGTGGCTACAAAAAGAACAACAGAGAGCGCGGGAATTAGAGCACAGACAGAAGAGATTGGAGCAGGCTAACCGGCGCCTTCGACTCCGGATTCAGGTTGTTATAAGAATGTTGCCACGAACCACGCAGCTTAACTGTGACTGACTTGTCATCGCTTTCATGCCTTGGTCTCATTTATTGTTTCTTATTAATAATTATTTTTTCCTCTGGCGGGTAACTATTGTCTTTTAGGAATTCATGCATTGGGTTGTTTCACTTCGGTTTTGATGAGAAATCTAGGGTTGAGAAGGCTTTAGCAAAATAGAATGAATGACAACTAATTGCAAAATGCAGAAAATAAGAATGGATTTTATAAAGGCACATGATATTATTTCAGCCAAATAATAATAATGAACTAGATCATTTCCTTCTCTACATAATATAGAACATTCTATTCTCCCTTCCCCCTCTCACTTCCTTAGTAACAGTGCTGTGGATTCTACTGCCACAAGCCATATTGTGCAGGTTTTCTACAGTTACTGTTCTTCTGTTCATGTGACACAAAGTATTAAAGTATGGGTTTTTATAACTCTCAAGTTGTTTTTTAAATCAGTATGCTTATAGCTAGGTAAACATTTACTTTGTTTCCATGGAACTGTAATATAGTGAGAAATTAATCTGGAAAAATAAATGGAATCCCTAGAGGATATGGCTCAGTGGTTAGAACCAAAGAACTGAAGGGTCATGGGTTTGATTCTGGTCAAGGGCACATACCTGGATTGCAGGCTCCATCCCCAACCCAGTCAGGGTGTGTGTGAGAGACAACCAATTGATGTCTCTCACATCTATGTTTCTCTGTCTCTGTCTTTCCCTCTCCCCCTCCACTCTCTCTAAAAATTAATGGAAAATTATCATAACAAAATAAAAAAAAGAAGCTTTTCTACTCACTTTAAATGTAGTTTGAGTCACTATGAAACCATAGTGTATTCCCTTATAGAATAAGGGGAAGGGAATTTTTTTTAATCTGCATATTTTTAAGGGTTATTTTTTAGTCAATAGAAATACAGCAGATTCTATTATTTGCAAGAATGTTTATAATTTATATTACTCTTCATTTTGAATACTTAATATTTTGGTTCTATTACTTATTCTACAGAGTTCAGTCCACTTTCTTTATAAAAAACATATTTTTATTGATTTCAGAGAGGAAGAGAGATAGAGAGAGATAGACACATTAATGATGAGGGAGAGTCATTGACTGGCTGCCTCCTGCATGTTCCCCACTGGGACGTGCCCTTGGTAGGAATCAAACCCGGGACCCCTCAGTTTGTGGGTGGATGCTCTATCCACTGAGCCAAACCAGCTAAGGCTTGAGTTAAGTTCCCTTTCAAAGTCATTATTTAATCATTCTCCTTTGAAATTGCAGGAACTAGAAATACAGGCTCGTGCTCACGGTCTTCCATCCCTGGCTTCCCTTGGCACAGTTGATGTGGGTGCTCATGTCAACAGACAGACCCATCCTGAGCAGAATTCAGTGGACTATCACCAACAGTCAACTCATTTGCAGGGAATGAACCTTGAGTTCTGTGACCAAGCTTTGTCCTTCTCCGATCCTTTGTCACACTTCACAGATTTGTCATTCAGTGCTGCTTCAAACGAGGAACAAAGATTGGATGACATGCTCCTGGACACTTTATCTCCTTTTGGGACAGACCCTCTGCTATCGGCCGCTTCCCCTGAAGTTTCCAAAGAGAGCAGCAGGAGGAGCAGTCTCAGCTCAGATGATGGTGATGCGTTATAAAAAAGCAAACACACCCAGTTGATCAACCAGGAAACAATGCCATGCTGATGATATGCAATTATGTTCAGTGCTTCATATATTGCTTTGGCTCCATTTTCCTGAAAGGACTACATTGTTCATGAAAAACCGATGGAGTGAATAACAGCAGTATAATGAAATTACAGGAAGAAATATGGTGCTGAAGAATTATTGAGGGCTAAAAAAGATGTTTTCCTTGGACAGAGTCCAAACGAACTTAACTTTTATTTCCTGGAAATAGCTCTCTACTTGATGTACTAACAGACTGCAAAGAGTAAACCTCAGAAATACGCAAACATTTTCTTCGTTATTCACTAGTATTTCCTTCTTTTTAACTCTTAAAACAGTTTTCAAGAATCATGATCAATAGATATGGTAGTTTATTGCCTTTCTCCACTGTCTGGTTAAAAGACAGATTATCTACCAGTCATAATGGAAAAGTGGATCTACAATTAACTTTAGAATTTTCTGCAATAAAATACAAATACTTATTTTAAAATGTTTTCTAAAAGTGTATGCTACTTACTTTAGTCTGTTTAACTGCACAAATTCTAAAAGTATCTCTGTGTATTTATGAAGACACTTCCTGTTCAGAAAAGGGAACACATTCAATACCTTCCTTAAGAACGTGGATTGGAATTTTTGTCCCTTCACACAGACCTACCCCAACATACATGTATACAATGAAGGTAGTATGTGTTTTTCCCTTCACTTTTTGCTTTTCTATTTTGCATAAGAAATCACATTCCAAATTTTTTTTCATCAAGAAGAGATGTTGGATAATCTATTCAGCAAATGAACTTGAAAAAGAGTCCTGCTACTATGACAATTTGTCAGGTATTTACAGTTCATCACTATGTCTAGTATGGAATGTAAAATAATTAGTTGCCAATACAGTTTTGCTTCACATTAACAAAATAGTGAAAATTGGATTGCCAAGTAACAAAATAATTTGTAAAACAAAAAGTCTTATACATTCAGCTCTGAGCTAAAGTTCTATTCTCATAGAACTTAGAGTACCCTGTGATTTTTGCTAGCTTTGTTATTATTTGTTAAGAATATTTATATTTATGATGTTTTAATAAAATTTTTCTCTCTTGAGTTTGTTTTAGGAATGGGAACTGACTTACCAAATACGCTGTTCTGTGCTGCATCTCTGTGAGTGCTCATCTGACCAATGAGTATTTGTTGAGCAATACTCAAAAGTTTCGTGAAAATGTACAACACATAAAAAGATATGGTCTTACCCCTCATAGAATTAAAGACAACATGAGAAACAACAAAAAAAAGATAAACAACATATAGAATTAAAGCCCACGTGGAGCAGCATAGGGTAAAGATTACAAAGGGTCAGAAAAATGAAAATGAATGAAGTTTGGAGAATCACAAAAGTCTATGGGAAGAACAGAATTCAACTTCTTTTAAAAGTGTATAAACTGAGTGAAGGGAAGGGAAAGTAGAGCAATGATATTAACCAAATGATAAAAATGAAAGTAAGTGGAAGTACCCTAATGGGACATTATTAGAAACGGAACATTTACCTGGCCACCCTAGAAGATGCTTGTTGGGGAGTTCTGAAAAGTATTATTATCAACAGGTTGTGAAAGCCGTTGAAAACTAGGATAAAATGACATAGTAGAAATCTGATATATTATTAGGAGAGAGAAGTCTAAAAATTAAAATGCTTTGGCATATTACTAACACGATTGAGATGTAATCTTTCATGCATATTAACTTGGTGATAAATGTTTCAGAGTATTTTAAGTATTACTTACATGGAAAATATACATCATCACAAAATTTGAGACTAATGATGATGAAAGAGGGAAAATATTACATCCTTATGGTATAATAATTATCTCAGGCTTAGTTTATAACATTAGCTTAGAGATTGGATAATTAATTTTCATTGACATGGAAAAAGTAATTCTTAATTTATAGGAACAATCATTAAGCCAGAAATATAAATTCACTTATAATATGCTATGTGAAAGAGAGCAATAAGATATACTTCCTCAAGAATATTTAGGAGAAGATTATATACTTTTAACTTTATGACAAAATTAGACTTTTCTACCTGAGGTGATAATTTAACATTGAAAATTACAGAGAAGCAAAATATTTTTGGGTCCATGGAAAACATATCATATATAGATAGAGACTAATTTCTGTTCTCATATTATCAATTATTATCTTTTCTTCAAAGTCGAAAAGACTTGCTTGGATGAAGTCATTACCCCATCATCATGGTTCCACTCCAAATACTACTACCTAGCCCTGAAATCTATTTCTTTTATCTTAGCTAATTGTAATAACTTGACACCAGATCTGGACAAAAGAGATCTGGAAAGAGAATCAATATCTGTTGCTACTTGCAGATTATAATAGCTATTAGGAGATTATAAAATGGCTAATGATTTTTAAAAAAAATTAAGTAAGAGTGTTCTGTGTCACAAGTTATAGATTTTCTCTCCAGAAAAATACAGAATTGTATATACCGGTACAGTGAAAAATATGCATGCACAAAGTAGTGTTAGCCTGGCCAGTGTTGTTCAGTAGTTCAATGTCCACCTATGAACCAGGAGGTCACAGCTTGATTACAGGTCAGGGCATATGCCTGGGTTGCAAGCTCCAGCCCTGGGAGGTTTTGGGGGAGAGAACGTGCAGGAGGCAGCTGATCGATGATTCTCTATCATCATTGATGTTTCTATCTCTCTTTCTCTCTCTCTGAAATCAATTTAAATAAAACACCACACATTATTTTTTAAAAAGAGAGATTTTAAGAACTTCCTACATATACATTCCTGTTTCCCCGAAAATAAGACATCCTCCGAAAATAAGACCTAGCTCATGGAAAAATAAGACATCCCCTGATAATAAGACCTAGCGCAACTTTGGGAGCAAAAATTAGTATAAGACACTGTCTTATTTTCGGGGAAACAGGGTAGCTCCATAGATCCCAGGTGAAAAATTCCTGCATTAGGTCTGTTATTTTAATATACAGTATGTCTCTGTGTATCCACAAAGAGCTGAGTACACAGTTAACATTACATATAATAATGGAGGAGGAGCCCTAGTTATCTGAGTATCATTATCCCAGCACCAATAATGATGATGTTTCAGAGGGAAGTGAAAGAATTCTATAGTCCAAACACTAGACAATCTACTAAGGGAGATACTCTTATTAAATAGTCCCCTTTCAAACACTCTGTTATGTATGTATGACTCCTGCTATATATTTATGTCAAATATTTATGGGTCAGTTTCTCTGACTACTGGATGTTGCAACCATCTTACGATAACATTGAAATGGGTAAAAAGTAAAAATTATGAAAATCCTAAAATAAAATTGAGTAGATAAGAATCATGAATGAACCTTGGGAAAATTGTCCAGAATAGTTTTGCAGAAATTAGACTTAGCATTGAAAGAATAATATTGTTCTATTAAACAATTTTATCACAAAATCATTAACCATCACTGGATTATTAATACACAATCAAGCCTGTTCACTCAAAGGATTAATGCATATGTACAATATCATGTCATCTGTGAATAATGACAGTTTTACTTCTTCCTTGGCAGTTTGGATACCATATTTTTTCTTCTTGTCTGATCATTGAGACTAGTACTTCCAGTGCCATATTGAATAACAGTGGTGGGAGTGGCGGATATCCCTGAATTGTTCCAGTTCTTAGGAAGAATTGTTTTAGTTTTTGTCCATTGAGTATGATGTTGGCTGTTGGTTTGTCATATACGTCCTTTATTATGTTGAGGTATGCTCCCTCTATTCACACTTTGCTGAGAGAATTTATATTAAAAAGTGTTAGATTTTGTTGAATATTTTTTCTGTGCAATTGATATGATCATGTGATTTTTGTCTTCCAATTTGTTTATGTGATGTATCACATCTATTGATTTGTGAATGTGGGGGTGGAGGAAAGAGATTGACTGGGAATCTTATATCCATATGTGCACAGCCCATGGACAGTGACAACAGTGTGGCAAAGGCTTGGGAGAGGCAGGTGCAGGTAGGAGGGGGGTTAATGGAGAAAAGAAACCCAAAATAAACAATAAAGATAAATTTAAAAAAGAATTATGCATAATTGCAGTGAAAGTTAAAACTTTGTGACAATAAGATTAATTAATTTTTTGTATTATTTTTAATTGTCTTTGAATGATAATGTCCTATCCAATCTAGTTCTCTATTTTTTCTAAAATATTGGCCACCTTTTCATAGATTTAAATAAATGAATCTTCCCAACTCCCAATTATATTAACAAGGGCCTCTGGTGAATTGATATATACATTCATAATTTCTATTCAGTTCTTTCTTCTCAAACTTTTTCCATAGCCGAAGAATATATTAAAAGACCACATTTCCTTAGTTTATATATATGATATTAGTGATTATAACTTTTTAATGTGGGTATAAAACCTCTAAATAATCACTAGTGAGATGAGCTGAGGATATTGATAAATAGACTTCCTCCTCCTTTTTAAACTCATGTTCCACTCAGATAACTGTAAATAAAATATTTAATAGCTCCTGCTTTAAAAAATTAGACACAATGAGTTTCTTCATTTGGTATACTCACCTTCCTAGAAGTGGGGGACAAGTTAGACTTCACAATGAAATCAAGAATGTATTCTTCCTCTGTTTTGATAGATTTGAGTCATATTGGCATTTTCTTATACTTCAAGGTATTGTGAAAATACTTTTTACCGTTCTGATATTGTGGAATTTTGGCATTTAAATAAATTAATTATATAACTAAATGTTTCAATGTTTTTACAGTATCTCTAGGCTGATATTTACTGAACTTATAATATCTAAGATGTAAATGAAAACGGGAATCCATTCGTCATCTTGCTGCGTTATGAGCACTACATCAACTATCTGTGTTTCATGAAATCACCTGAAGGATTGAGTTTTACCTCCGTATTGATAATGGCACAGCCTGCACATGCTACACGAAATTACATTATTTGCCCCTCCAGTGCCCTGCACGTTGACAAGTACAAGATGTCAATCTGAGTTAGTGCAAGTTACACCTACAGAGATTTTATTATATTTACTTATATATACTATATATATTATATATATATTTATATATATCATATATATTATATATATTATATATATATTATATATACTAAACACATTCAGAGTGTTGCTGACTTAATTGTCATATGACCTTCCTGCAATCATTAGTCATTGCATACACTCATATTTTATTATTTGTATAATTTTCAATTTTAAACAAAGAAATTACTTAAAATTATAAAAATAGTCTAAATTTATTCTGTTCTACTTTTTTTCCCCCCTGAGGTTCATAAGAATTTGAGTGTATAGAGATTATTGAAAAATAGTTATTTTGGTTTAAAAAAATCTCCCTCTGGATTCAATCTATTTAATGATGAAAAACTATCTGCTGCTTTATAAATAAAAGGGAACTTTTTATCTTCTAGTAAAAGGATTTGTGCATGCATTTCTACATATCCAAATAATTTCTGCTATGTTTTTTATTGATGAAATCCTCAGTAAAATGTTTTTTTTCTTCTTCTGCATTTATACAGCCAGCTTCAAGAATATATTTAAAGACTTTTGTTTTTGCAGTGGTACCACTCCCATTCTTGCACTACCATTTTATTTTTAAAATTTTGTGTTTTCAACTTTTTTCCCCCCGAGAAATAAATTTTGTTTGTTATTTAAAGCTGGTGGATATATACAACAAACAAAACAGAAACTATGCAAAGGCGAGGAAAGACTTTGTTGAAGGAATTATATAATTGGGAAGTTAATATATTATCTTTTAATGCATTACTTCTAAAGTTTAAAAGCTAAGGCTAAAATTAATTCATCTGTTTAATCTTAATAATAACAATGCAGTTTAAAATCTTCTACCTTAATACCACATTATACATAGGAAAAACTGAAGTAATAGTCTTATGATTTTAACCTAACATTAGTTAGCTGAAGATAAAATTGTTAGTGTGCTAGGCTATAAAATTTGTAATTATTGCTATTTTTCCTTTTTAATAACACAGTAACTGGTTTTACCTTCTGAGAAAATGAAGAACACTGGTGCAGTCTAATACATACATAAATCATTATACATATACTTTAAAAAATGTACCAACATTTTCTTTGCTTATATAAAATGAAAATATAGAATTATCAAACATTTAACATATTTTTTATTCTCCCTTTGTAGATATACAGTGCTAGGAATGTTGGTTAATTATCTGAAAGGATACTTAACAGGCATGAGACTTCACAATTGACAACTGCTCACTACATAGCCCGTGCTGGAAATGATGATCCAATACTTCCCTACTCATGAAATAATTGTTACATTAGCTAATATAGTATCTTACATCTGCTTCTCCATGCTGTTATGGTTTTGATTTATGAAAAATTATTTGTTAAAACGTTGCAAGGCTTCTAACAGCTGTAATAGTATCAGTAAAAACATTAATAAACTCCACAAAATCTTTTAATATACTAGGTGGTCCCCAGACAATCTAGGATAAATAGCATGCTGTATTTTAATATGTAAAACACTTTAAGTTGCTAATTGGTATTGACTAGACATATCCCTTGGTAATAAATTTAATAAGAATTTCAGTTAAATGTTAAGACAATAGTATGTAATATGATGTTTATGATTTTTTCTACATACTTTTGTCAAAATTAATAAAACAGCACAGTTTTGAGTTGACTATAAAAGGTGATAGTCTATGTGAAATGTAGGTTCAGTTTTTTAAAGTTATGCATGTTTTTCTTAAGGTATTGTTAGTGCCCAAAATATAATACTAATTAATAAAAGAATTATTCTGTGGAAAGGAATAACCAATGCAGTACAGGTAAAAATAAGTCAGGGTGATTTTTTACATTCTATAGACTGAAACTTTGGATGGCTGAAAAAATTATACTTGATTGTTTATCGTATGTATATGTACATGCGTGGTGTATTTGCAGGTAGATGTGTGTGTCCTTATCAAAACTTATAAAATATTTCCTTCTCTCTTGATATTAAAAAGGACTCTATATGTAAGACTATGTTATTCTTTGCTTGAATATGTAGGCAATATTTGGAGCTATCTTCAAGTCAGTTCAATTAGAAACCTACCTACCTACACACACACACACACACACACACACACACACACACACACACACACTTTACATTGAGTTTAGTTAAAAACATAGAAAAGATGAAAATTCTAACAGGTTTTAATATTTTGTTCAAGTAAGTGATTTATACAGCTATAAACTATTTAGATATAACAAAGGTATTGATTTTATTGACCATGCAAAGAAATATTAAAACCAATCTGAAATGTGGTTATCTTTGTCTTCACCTGAAGAGTTCTCGCTATGGGGTGGTTAAGTAGGTAAATAACAATACAACATAGCGGTTAAGCAATGGATGGCCATCAGGTTAAATAAATGTCCGTTTCATAACCAGTGCCATCAGGCAAGAATACAGCTATCTAGATGGTGGTGATTTTGATAGACTAGGCCACATTATGGTTAAGTGTATAATTCCTATAATAAGAAAAAGGTGCCCCCAGGCTATTGTTCCTAGCACGGTTTAAAATTTACATATTGCTTCTCCTATGTCAAAACATCTGGTTGCTGCAAA